CCTTGGAAAAAAACCTTTTGGCGTGACGAATCCATGCTTGACATTGGTCTACATTGATGTTATCACGTGCATCCTCCATGGCCTGAATAAGGGTGGCACGCTCAAGGGGTTGGAGATAGACCTTTCACCTCCATGATGAAAACAATTCCTCAATAGGGTTGAGGAAAGGAGAGTATGGAGGCAGGTAGAGGGTCATGAATCTAGGACGGGCCTGAAACCATGCTTGAACTACCTCTGCGTGGTGAAAGCTGACATTGTCCCACACAATGACATAGGTGACCCCTTCCCCTTGACAGGTCTGCTCAATGTCAATGAGAAACTCAATAAGATGTGCAGCGTTATAGGAGCCAAGTAATGGCCTACGTCCTACGACACCATCTTCAGAGATAGCTGCGCACATGGAGATGTTTCCTTCACGTTGTCCATGCACTTGGACAGTGGCCCAATGGCCACCTTTATGTTGGTGCCCATGCCCACCTCTTTGACCTCTCTGTTGGTGCCCATGCCCACCTCTCTGTTGGTGCCCATGCCCACCTCTTTGACCTCTCTGTTGGTGCCCATGCCCACCTCTTTGACCTCTCTGTTGGTGCCCATGCCCACCTCTATGTTGGTGCCCATGCCCACCTCTTTGACCTCTCTGTTGGTGCCCATGCCCACCTCTCTGTTGGTGTCCATGCCCACCTCTCTGTTGGTGCCCATGCCCACCTCTCTGTTGGTGTCCATGCCCACCTCTCTGTTGGTGCCCATGCCCACCTCTCTGTTGGTGCCCATGCCCACCTCTCTGTTGGTGCCCATGCCCACCTCTCTGTTGGTGCCCATGCCCACCTCTCTGTTGGTGCCCATGCCCACCTCTCTGTTGGTGCCCATGCCCACCTCTCTGTTGGTGCCCATGCCCACCTCTATGACCTCTCTGTTGGTGCCCATGCCCACCTCTCTGTTGGTGCCCATGCCCACCTCTCTGTTGGTGCCCATGCCCACCTCTCTGACAGATCCCTTGAGCTCTTCCTATTCCTTGCTGTCTATCCTGCTCCATGTTGAAAGAAATTGCCAGTGTTACCCCCCCCACTATTACAGTATATCTAATGACCTATTGTGGTTACCCCAATCTGCCAGTGTTACCCCCCACTATTACAGTATATCTAATGACCTATTGTGGTTACCCCAATCTGCCAGTGTTACCCCCCCCCCCCACTATTACAGTATATCTAATGACCTATTGTGGTTACCCCAATCTGCCAGTGTTACCCCCCACTATTACAGTATATCTAATGACCTATTGTGGTTACCCCAATCTGCCAGTGTTACCCCCCCCACTATTACAGTATATCTAATGACCTATTGTGGTTACCCCAATCTGCCACTGTTACCCCCCACTATTACAGTATATCTAATGACCTATTGTGGTTACCCCAATCTGAAATCAATTAGCAAAAATGAGTATTCATCATGTGTGGTTAATTTATATGTTCGTACAAAAACACATTTTATTTTTGTAGTTCTCAAAATCAATATACTGTTTATTGCTGAAATTAAAATATATAGGTTTACCAACGGTTCAGTGATTAACCATTAAGATCAGTTGGATTAAGTGTTGGTCAAATGTATTTACACAAATGAGATGAGAAGCTTATCAAAAGTACTGTGAGCATTGCATTGTGAAAGTCAATTTCTTCATATGAAGGGTATTTCTTTGATTTTGGCTGTCTGGGTGTAAAACTGCATGTGGCTCTATCCTAAGGCGTTGAATTTTGTGAATATCAAAATGAGTCAACTCTAATAACATGGCCTTGTCTCATAAAGCCACAGTACAATTAAACGGGAGACTAATGAGAGAAACCAAAAGCCCCACTTAAAACCTTGTAGACGGACTGTCCTGGCTGATCCCAAACATGATGTTAAATCAAATACAATCACTCTGCACTTGGGTGAGGATTAAATTAAGGTACAAGGTAGACAAGGCTGTAGAGAGATATAAATGGATCAGGGGACATTTTACACCAATTTGCACTCACCTATCGGGTTTGCTGCTCCATTCGTAAGCACAGAAAAGAAAGCATGACAGGACTTTAGTCGGCATGACAACATGACCCGTCGTTCTGCAGACCGGGAAGTCTCGACAGGAGACACACACACACACACACAGACACACACCCCGCGGCCAAAGTTGAAGTATGGCAATCGTACTTTACACCGACGTGCCGTTTTCCAAAATGACAAGCGGAGATAACGGCGAGCAGCGATGCCATTCGGATCTAAATGATGGTTGGCGCGCGGGATTAGTGCCGGTTCAATACTGACACCGCACTCAATTATGCCACCTCGAGTACGTGTTTCAAATACTATAATTTCCGCCCAGGTGCAATTCGGTCGTTTCTTTCGGCGATTGTTTGTCACGGATGTGTCCTTTCTTTGTATTCTTCCCTGAAGAATCCCGCAATGCAAAAACACATGATAATACAAATTATAGACTCGGATGGAGTTTTGAAGAAAACCTGTGAACACGCATTACGAATGACCTTTGCCCTCACCCGTCGTATCACTTTTTTAGGACAAAGACGAACAGAACTCAGACTTTCAGCTCGGATTGCTGCGGAAACGCTTAGGATCTATATTTAGGTGTGTAGTTGTACTTTCCTCTGTCGCCGATCTACACGGCTCGTATGCTATGCCGCGTTCCCGTCCGTTGCCTCTGCTGCCAGACACACAGGGACATGACTGCCGTGCATTGCTATTCACACGGCACTGATTCTGTCACGCAAAAAAGAGTGTATCTTGTCAAGTGAGTAACCTTCTGACCATGCACCGGAGAGGCCCAAACACGCCGATGACACCGACTTGGTAATTGACGTGTAATTCTGCCCGAGGCGCTAGTCGACATGAGAAATCGGATTTGACTTCATACTTGACGGTTTGGTCGACGCTCGTCTCGAGTGCCCCGGGAATAGCCCGGACAAACTCCCGGGAATGAGCAAACAGTCGCGTCCAACCGTTTAATATAAATAGACACACGGTTCAATTGAACCATGCGAATATCTGCATTCAGGAGTACTTCTTCTTTTGTGGTGTCAAGTGGAAAACATACAGTGCCGTGGAGAAGGTTCAGGTCGCAGCATAATAGTTGGGTTTGGGTCTGGCTAATGTTGTTTTAAACCATTTTGACATAGCCAATGATCCCACACACATACACAAGTCTAACTGCATGCGCTCGTTCTACTCTAGCGTTCTTCAATCATGAGTAGAATTCACGGTTTCATCAATGACTGCAGCTGACCCGGTCCTAGGGTAGCCAATTACCACCAAAATATCCTACTACCATTACCGTGCCTGGTGATAAAAGCTTCTTACTGTCAGATGTGGTGTTAGGCTTTTGCCTGATAGACAAGCGACGAGTTTGGTTGCAGCCATGGCAGCTTAAAAGTGGAACAAACACTTAAGAAAGAAACTAAGGGGAATTAAATGCTGCATAAATTGCTTTATATAATATAAACACATAAATATTACATGTATGATCTCCGTTCGCTAATGGCAGTGTAATAGCATTTTGCTATTTGACTGATTGACCATGGTAGACATCCTGTAATATAACTGGACATTGCTCATCTTTAGCACAACTGTATAAAGAGATATTGCTCTTTTGCACAATTTGATATATGAACCTGGACATTGCTCTTTTTTCTGTAATCTGCTCACACATCTAGACATTGGTCCTTTGCACTATTCAGATGCATATTACACATCCCATATTTACCCAGTACATTCACCAAATAGGCCGGGCCTCTTGACTGTTCGTGTTTTGTGTTCTGCTCCGTTTGCACTGTTTTGTGCACGCCTTAAAAGTGTTTTAACCCTGTGGTCAGAAAGAAAATCATTTTGTATGTAAAAAGACTTGCCAAATAAACCTGTTTCTGATGTTTTAGTTTTAAATATTATATGTTTTTATGTTAAGAATAAGCTCAAAAATAGAAGGAAGGGGTATCAAACCCATTGTTCTAGTGTTGTTCAGGGAGCCCAGATCAGTCTGTCCTGTCTCAGTCTCAGTTGCTAATGTTGCATTAGTTTACGTGACACCGACCACCTGCGTATATCGCATCAGAACTTACAGCAATGCAATACAATGATGTGGCCCAGAAGGTGATGTGCTCTAATAATCTTCAGCAGGTACAGCCAGACGAGGACTGGTCACCATGCGGGATATGGTCCCTCTCAAGGGTTCTTCCTAAGTTTCGTCCCTAATAGGGGTGTTTTTTCCTAACCACTCAGCACCAATTCTTGCTGTTGCTTGCTCTTCGGGTTTAGGCTGGTTATCCGTAAAATCACAGATGCTAACTAAAGTTGACGGAGCCAACTGACAATAAGCCCGTTCTCGCCTAAAGCGTTTTTGCGAAAACAACCGAGCAAACGGACTGTTACACTTCCCGGTGCCGTTTAATGCAAACGCCACAGAGGCTGTTTCATGTGACCCAAAGCGGCGTTCAATCAAGATGGCACATACAGAAGGGAGTATGGGAAGATAAATGTGTCCCGGTAAAGTAACAGGGCAACAGGGCTTTACCGAGCGGGCCTGGAGCTCGGCTTCTTAGTGCGTGTCGAGGCTGGTGTTGTGGGGACATGAGTCCTAGACGGGCCCTAGGGGCCTGTTCTGAAGTAGCGAGCGCGTACGCTGACATGCGGCAGATACCCCCGATCACTAGTCTCCCACGCTTGACTGATGACCGACGACGGCTTCTGCAAGTTCAGAAAAAACGGCCGCACCGATTGTCTGTGTTGTTTTGCGCGCGGAGTGTGCGTTTCACGGCGTTGGGGTGTCTGCGTGGTCCTTGTGCTTCAGCTGATGGTAACGGCTTTGATTCTCTGGCTTTTAATAGAATAGACCAATATTGTCAGTTGTACAACTGCAGGGTGCAGGGGGGCAGCCCTAATCAGTTACCTGACTTGACATTTTAGGGTTAACTGTCTTGCTCAAGGACAGAACGACGCGGTTTTCACCTTGGTGGTGGGGGGATTAGAACCAGGGATTAGAACCAGGGACCTTCCAGACCCAAGCCCTAGCCCCTAACCACTAGGCCACCTTGACGCCCTACTACTGTTCTGTATGTACGGTTTCTTCTCGGAAGGTATTCAGACCCCTTGGCCATCTTCCCGTTTTGTTGTGTTATGGACTGAATGTGTGATTGATCAAATCGAGTTTGACGACAAATCTCTTCATTTTGATGAAATGACTATAAATGAAACACTGCATGTATTCAAACAGTGTGTCAGGATTTGACTGCATCCAGTTTCCTCCGATGACCCCTGAAACGACTCAAAATTCTTTGGCACATTTAAGGAATTGAACATGATGAATATTGCAGAGGCATAAATTCTGGTCGAAAAATGCTGAAGCGTTGGAATATCCCAGGAGCACAGTGGGCTCCATTATGAAATTAAAGACTAGTCTAGAACCGCGAAGACTCTTTCCTAAAGCTGGCCATCTGGCTAAACCAAGTAATCGGACGTGCAGGGCCTTAGTCAGGGAGGTGATTAAGAAACCAATTGCCAATAGCATAGCTTAGCATAGTTCATCTGCAGAGATAGACGAACCTGCCAGAAGGACCACAATCCCTGCAGCGTTACATTATTCAGGCCTTTATGTTAAAGTGGCTAGACAAAAGCCAGTTCTGAGTAAAAGGCACATAACACGCCGTCTGATGGACTCCGGGGCAGGGTGGGAATTATGTAATTTTAGGGGCAAGGCCATTTGGCCTCCACCTTTTCTTTTTTTTTAGGGGCACCAAGGCCATATGACAGGGCACAAAGGCCATTGAGTACAATTCGATGGTTTTCCCATTCAGATTGATACCATAACATCCTAATTTGGAATAAGACATGAATTACTTTTTTAATAAAAAAAACATTTTTTAATGAGAGAGAGAGAGAAAGAGAGAGCGCCATTACATCCAGAAGGTATACACCAGAGCTGTGCTCGAGACCGAGACGAGACCCAAGGGGGCCGAGACCGAGACGAGACCAAGACCGAAGGGGGCCGAGACCGAGACGAGACCGAAGGGGGCCGAGACCGAGACGAGACCGAGACCGAAGGGGGCCGAGACCGAGACGAAACCGAGACCGAAGGGGGCCGAGACCGAGACCAGTCATATCAACACTAAATAATATGACATGTTTTTAGTCCAGTGACCAATGTAAAAAAACACTTGACCAACAGCATCAGATCATCTACTCTGTTGTCATCCTGAATGAAATGAATTACATTTTATTAAAAGAGTATGTAGGCCTATTTATTGTCTTATGTAACCATAAAATACGAAAATAAAACCATGAACCATGCACAGGCTATGATATTAAAATTTCTAAAAATCGAATAAATGAAAATGCATCAAACTGTATGTCCTATATTGATGTAGTAAATGCTAACACATTTTAGATCACAAGCGACTTGCAATCAAATGATTTGCGCATGATTGGCCGATAAACAAATCTATTTATAATTATTTATCCGTCCACAGTCCCACGCAGCTTCAGTTGTTTGTCTGCTTGAGCAGGACACGCAAACGAACCGGTTGCACTGCGCACATTGTTCATTAGTCTTGTTACGAGTGCACATGAGACAGCAGCAAACTAACCCGGTTGAACTGCGCACAGTGTTCATATAGATCAGACCAAAACTCGTCCAGTTGAATAAAGATCGGACCAAAACGGGTCCAGTTCCATGTAGATCGGACCATAACCGTTCCAGTTTTATGCTCTTTCTGCCGTATGCCCCCCGGACTTATGTATGTCCCAGGTCCTTCTGTGTGCATGAGTAATTTCATTTATCGCCCATTTGTAGTTAGCCTATTAATAATTATTGTTTATATTCGTTTAATTTCGATACAAAACAATATTTTGTTGAAGTCTCTTGTAGGCTATATGAATACACTGTGGTTCATTCGTTATTAATTATTAAGTGCAATAGGCGCATGACACATGAATGGGGCTGTATGTATTTGGCGGAATTCGTTCTGTTTATTTAGTGAAACATATTTCTTTATAAACGTACCTCTTTTTTGTAGTTCAACCAAGCCAATCAGACTATTGTCTATATGTGTTCTCGTAGTATTTGTCTGTGTATCGCCCATTCAACCATTGCCATATAGGCTCAGTGAAGTGTGATCGGTGTCTGGGTACCGGAATTAGGGTACCAACGCCCAGCGGCGTGAGATTTTGGCGACAGGAAGGCAGTTTAGGTATCAAAAAACATGTAAATAGTAGTTTTATATTTTGTACGGTTTGTGATTTTGCAATTCTGAAAACGGGACAAGGTGAAATGCACGTATTTAGGAAAAGTCATGGAAGGACGTCGCTGTAGCTTTTCAACATTATATATGTATTTTAATTACAAACCGCTGTGTGTTTTCGGACAAATTATTTGTTTGTGCTGAATGTAGACAAAACGAATATAATGGCAGATTGTGCAGACATGATCGAGCATATGTTTAAGATTGAAGTATACGTCATGTAGGCTATAATATCAATACGGCGTAGCAGGAAAAATACTAGCTAACGTATGGAAAAAATGGCAAATACCGGTAATACTAAGTGTTACGTTCAGTCAAATCCTGCCACATTAATCAGTTACGTATCATATCAAACCAACTTAGCTCGTTTGCTAATGCTTACCTGAGTGTCGTTCTGTTGGTGCTGACGTTACATACTTATTGCACTGCTGTTTTGATGCGTGAGATCGATGTGATTATGACACTGCACCTGCGCGAATCCACGAACTAATTCAGAGACTACTTTGGTGGCTCGCTGTAATTCAAAGCTATGCCGCACTGTGGCTTTACATGGAATTTGGACAGGGCCAGGGCACACAGGCCACTGTGGCCGTACGATTATTTTTTTTTCATGGGGCATGAAGGCCAAAGTGTTGGGCAACGGCGGCCATGGCCGCGTGGCCGCGGTATAATTCCCACCCTGCTCCGGGGTCGAATGAAAATGAAAATAAATATCACGCCCGAATGCCAAACACTACGGCTGCTAAAAACACCACCCAAATATGATCTCTAAGGAGAAGCATAGTGGTGGGGGAATCCTGGTACTGGAATGCTCCTCAGCTTAAAGACCTGGAAGACTGAGAGAAGAAGCGAAACACCGTGAGGTCCCTGAAGGGAACCTGCACGAGAGCACACGGGACATTGGCCTGAGGCCCGCAGTTCAACATTACTTCTCATCCGATCTGAAAGAGCTTATGAGGATCTTCAAGGAAAAACGGGAGGAACTGCCCAAATCCAGGTGTTTAAAGCTGGTCGGCGCAAACCCAAGAATACTTATCTCTGCGATTGTAGCCTGCCAAAGGCTATTTTGCACATTTATATGATATATTCAGTTTTTCTGATTTTGACAAATTGTCACCCATTTCTAAAACGGCTCCTAACTGTCATTATGGGGTATTTTGTTTAGATTGCCAATAACAGAGAACAGCGACCGAGGGAATTAGTCCGGAGGCACTGTGCCAGTGTGTGCGTCTCTATCCTTCTCCGTCCCTTACCTCTTGTACAGGAGGATGGCTATGACGATGCAGATGATGAAGACCACGGCGAGCACTGGGCCCACCACCCAGATGAGTCCCTCCTCCTCGTCGATCACCGGCTGGGGGTTGAGGTCAGCTGACACGACGGGGTCCGAGTAGGGGCTGGTGGCGTACATGGTCTGGGTAGGAGACGAAACGGGAGCTGGGGTTAGAGTCCACTCTGTTGTTCTGCTGAAGCTCTCAGGCTATACTCGTGCGTGTGAGGTGTCTGTGTGGCCGCTCAGATTTTACCCACAACATTTTAGCGGAAAAGTTGGCCGCCCCAGAGTAAGAGGCTGAAACGTGTCTGCAAGAAGACAGTAACCCAAAGTGCGCATCCGAATCCACAACAAATTGGTTCATCTTGCACAATAGACAACATTTCGGAACGGGCGATTAAGTGTTAGGACTTGAATCCAATTAATTCCAACGCAGCAATTTCCTCGCCTCCAATCACATCGAAACGAAGCGGTCCCCGGTTCAGACTAGTTTCCTTATCGTTCCCAACCATTAAATGATCTGTCAGTCTATACTGTGTGGCGGTACGGGAAAAAAAACCTATGTTCTCCATTGCTCGATCGACGCCAAATGGAAGCAATCGGATAATTAATAGCACACAATCCTTTTCTGAGGCTGAGGAAAGTATCGTAGTTCAATAGTTATAGTAACTTTTTCCCTTTAAAAGAAAACTGAAGATTGGATTAGTTTGACTTTTACGGCAAAAAGTAAAAATGGACAAACTCTAAGTGACAAGTGCTGGGCATTATCCCGTTTTAAGTTATTGGATCGATATAATGAATTTAGCTGTCGAAACGATTTGGGGGATGTGGTAATGTCTCTAATATCTCTAATTTGGCCTGATTGACTTTATTTAAGTCACTCGGAAGAACCAGATAAAGGCTGAGCCTCTAAGGCAAAGAAAAAGCCAATCAGCGCTCTGGTGGTCAAACTGCAGATTCGTCCTCCCATCGGTCTGGTGTTATCATTGTCCTAAACCTGCAGCCAGGAGTGCAGACGAACAGTGTTAAAACCTCCCAGCTCATCAAATCCACGATTCTGCTGCGTTTAGTGTCAGCTAATCAAGCCCCTTTCTCCCCTAATCCACACACTCTACTTCTCAGTCTCACACACACACACACACACACTTTCCCTAGCTGCAGTGGAGGAGATAAGGCCATCTGCACGTAGGTGCGCAATTAAAGAGAAGTCCTGTTATCAAGGTATTGGTGCGATTGGCAGGAGGCTCTGGGGGGTTTTTCTCTACAGTTGGGGGCTCTATCCTCACAGTTTGTTGCAGAGAGAAGGAATGGACTCCATATAAGGGAGGAGCGCCCCGTCAAAACGCACTGCATTTATTTAACATGTACCATACAACTGTAAGCAGAAATGGTGAAAGATCACCAGAGGGGCAACTTTGACACAACTGATGAGAGAGAGAGAGATGAGAAAGGAGAGAGAGATGAGAAAGGAGAGAGAGATGAGAAAGGAGAGAGAGATGAGAAAGGAGAGAGAGATGAGAAAGGAGA